AGTGAATCACAAATTAAAAGAGGGTTGAGTCCCCTAAAGTTCAGGTACACGTCAATTCACTGACTTTTTCTGACTTAAGTTTTCTTAGTTAAGAACATGGGTTGCAGCTCTTAATTTTGAACTCTCAAAGTGCATTACATAGAATAATTTAACTTTAAAATGTACTAAATGTTCTTTTTTTTTCCCAATTCCTTTGTCTTTTTACATTTTTTTTTAAATATCGTATCGTGGACTTCATATTGCGATATTATCATACCGTGAGATTTTTCATATCGTTATATCCCACATTATATATATATATATATATATATATATATATATATGTTTACCATAATTTCAATTTTAAAAGGTAATTTTATGAATTTACATTAGACTAAAAGCTCAAGCACAGAAAAGGACTTATTTGGAAGAATATTTGGAAGAATCACTACATGTTATACTGATTATTCCCTCACTGTGCAGTCATATATAACCCAATCTTTCTTTTCTCTCATTTTCTCCTCTCCTTTTCCATAAATGTGACAACAGGATTGTGATTTGTCTTTTTTTTTGTAAACATCCAGTTTGAAGGCTTGTTTACCGCCGTCATCCTTCCATCTGTGTCTTTCTGGTTCTTTCTGCTCTGTATTAATATGTGTGTGGCCACTTCTCCAGCAGCGCGTGGGGTCCAAACTTCATTTTCTGCGTTCGGCTGATTGTGTGAATAATTTGGGAGTAATTACCGCCAACGTCATCGCTGCCTCCCCCTCCGACAATTACCGAGATGCTTCCCACAGACTCACGTTTGTCAGAGGATCAAAAAACAACCTTGTCCTGATATATCAATCATCTCGCTCTAATTAGTGGATGGATTTGGTATCTTGTAACTGTTATTAGTGTAAAACCTAGACCAATCAGATGCCCGCCAGGGTACTACGAGCGTCAGCTTAAAACCCAAAGGACCTGACGGTCCTGACGGTGTCCCTAGAGGAGCCTGTTCTAAAACCGATAACCCCCGTCTAACCTCACCACTTCTAGCCGCCCCAGCCTATATACCGCCGTCGTCAGCTTACCCTGTGAAGGAAATAAAAGTAAGCAAAATGGGCACAACCCAATACGTCAGGTCGAGGTGTAGCGCATGTAGTGGGAAGAAATGGGCTACATTTTCAAGTATAGAATACTACGGACATGCACAATGAAATAGTGACAAAAAGACTCATGGCTGTATTAGATCAAAAGGGTGCTTCTACTAAATACTGAGCAAAGGGTCTGAATACTTAGGACCATGTGATATTTCAGTTTTTCTTTTTTAATAAATCTGCAAAAATGTCAACGATTCTGTGTTTTTCTGTCAATATGGGGTGCTGTGTGTACATTAATGAGGAAAAAAAATTAACTTAAATTATTTTAGCAAATGGCTGCAATATAACAAAGAGTGAAAAATTTAAGGGGGTCTGAATACTTTCCGTACCCACTGTATATATATATATATATAATAGTATCTCACTGATACTAACTGACACTGATTTGCTGAACATACACATCTTAATCATTATTTTCATTCATTTTTTTTTTTTGTACTTTTTATTTCAGTTAAAAATAATTCAGTTTTATTTCAAGTAACTGAACACGAACATGAATTACTCATTCATTAATATACTTTTAGGCACCACATGACATTTTACAACCTGAACTAACCTTGGCTTGCCATTAAAAGGTCAAGTTATCTGATATTTTAAGACACCTATTAACCTTTACACAGTCATGAGGGTCTGCAGGGCTCCTCTCTATGACTTAATTTCCTGTTTTAAGTTTCCTCATCTTGCACTGCCATGTCTCACCTTATGAGGCTGGCCATCATGTCCCAGCACCTCCCTGTAATACTCCATATTCTCAGTCATGAACTCTTCGCCTTCGTGGAACAACAGGTAGGTCAACGCGCACTCCAATGCCTCTTCATTCCTCCCAGCTGAACACATAGAGAAAAGAAACAGCTATTCAGTGTTGATGAAGCCACCAGGGTTCTGTTGCTTGGCTCATCTTGGGAGATTATTCATCCTGTGAGGCTGTCTGATTTTTTGGAGTCATCTTTTCCCACAGTCACGTTTATTTCCTTTTGGAGACACACATGCTCGGAAACATTCGCATTCCAGGCCAGTGACCACAATGGAACAAACACCACAGGGGTGAGCGAGTGGAAACACACGGCTCTGAGACTTGCTGCAGAGACGGCACTCGCACACACACCTGAATTACTTGCCATTTTATGAACAATAAGCAGTAATACTAAAATTTTTCATTGAAATTTTCTTGAGGTGGAAGGAAAAGTTCTGCTTTGACATTTCCATGAAGAAATCAATCAAGTCTGAAATATTTATCAGACTCTCCATCTCCTTTAGAGCAAGTAATTCCATGATTAATGAGGTTTTGTCATTTCAAAATTTTCAAGGTGCTTTTAATCTGATTATAATTACCGTTGACATTTTCTTTCCAATACTGACTAATTCTACATTTTGAATGATGTAAGTCAGTTGTGTTGTAGCCAATATCTTCTATCCTGAGTCCAAGATCCAAGAAGAGAATTGGGGTCAGATACAAAATCAAGCCCAAAGACTTCTACCCCAAGACTGTGAAGGAGAGAACATTCATTCAAGCTAGTTTTGACATGTATTGAGGATTACCTTGGAAATAGGCAAATTGCAGGTAGTCGTAATGAAGTGGCAGGTAGTTTTCCACAGGCGACAGGCGACCGGGGCGCGTAGCCAAGTCTCGGACACACTCGTGCTGACAGTGAAGAACCTGTGTGTAATGATCTGGAAGACAAAGTTCAACATGATTTAGATGAGGGGTCTCAAGTTCAAATTAGCTTGGGGCCACTTGCCAGTTCGTATTCTCCATCTTGAACCAGTTATCAGAAAAAGTTACAACACAAACAGATGTTTGAATTTGAACTATATGCCATTACATCCATAAAAACAAAGGTTTAAAAATAGGTGTTTTGCAGTGATGCTAAAGAAGAACCATTTTGGTTCCTCAGAGAACCTTTCAGTGAATAGTTCTTGAGAGAACTATCTTTTTCTTTTTGTGAAGACCATTTAATACTCTGAAGAAACTTCTTCCACTATAAAATCTTTTGTGTAATGGAAAGATTCCATGGATGTTACATTCTTAAAAATGAAGGTTCCTTATTAGGGGCTTTCGGACTAGAGGAACCTTTAAATAGTTCTTAGAGCTATTGGTTGAAGTACCCACTTTTTGGCATGTTTGCACCGCAGGAACTAGGAACAGTTTTAGTTCTAGAAACTCTGTTTGGGAGAACTAAATTAGCTCCTACTTCAGAGTAGGGTCTCAAACCAGTTATTGACGTTTGTAAATGCTGCGAATAAAGACGTCGCTGTCTGCTGCTTAAGAGTTCCTACTGCCGGTGCGAAAATGCCTGCAGGCTATAGTTCCAAGAACTGAGGTCTTAGAACTACGCAGTGTGAAAGTGCCTATAGACAGAGCCGATCCTCCCTATACGCAAAATACGCAAGCTGCGTAGGGCCCCCGAAACACCAGGGGGCCACCTTGCTCTCAAAGATGATTTAATTGTAGTTTCGTTTTTGAATTTGGCCAGCGGTTATGAAAACATGAATGATAATTTATTTTAATGCGGTGCGCTGTCGCCCTTTCTATGTAAAAATCAGTATCAGTATCAGTATCTAGTTACTCTAGATACAGATACCAGTATCAGTACAGTAATCATGTAATGTGAATGTCGTACAGTCTTGCTCAACACTAAAAAAACGAGTTGAAAGCATACCAAGCAAAAGAGTTCATTTATTTTAGGGAAGAGACACTGTTTCTCAAGTGCTTTCTGCGAGCGCGATTCGAGACGGAGTGAAACACGGACAAATGCGTTTCATTCATTCGTTCATAAGCACTCATACCCCACTCCAACCCCACCCCCACCGACACAGTTTTGCATAGGGCCCCCAGAAGTCTAAGATCGGTACTGGCTGGCAAAGTACTTCAATCACTATACAAATTAGTGTATTAAGCCTAACATCTTACTATAAAACTTACTGAAATACCAAAAATAAATTCAACAGTTTATCACACTATATATATATATATATATATATATATATATATATATGTTTACCATAATTTCAATTTTAAAAGGTAATTTTATGAATTTACATTAGACTAAAAGCTCAAGCACAGAAAAGGACTTATTTGGAAGAATATTTGGAAGAATCACTACATGTTATACTGATTATTCCCTCACTGTGCAGTCATATATAACCCAATCTTTCTTTTCTCTCATTTTCTCCTCTCCTTTTCCATAAATGTGACAACAGGATTGTGATTTGTCTTTTTTTTTGTAAACATCCAGTTTGAAGGCTTGTTTACCGCCGTCATCCTTCCATCTGTGTCTTTCTGGTTCTTTCTGCTCTGTATTAATATGTGTGTGGCCACTTCTCCAGCAGCGCGTGGGGTCCAAACTTCATTTTCTGCGTTCGGCTGATTGTGTGAATAATTTGGGAGTAATTACCGCCAACGTCATCGCTGCCTCCCCCTCCGACAATTACCGAGATGCTTCCCACAGACTCACGTTTGTCAGAGGATCAAAAAACAACCTTGTCCTGATATATCAATCATCTCGCTCTAATTAGTGGATGGATTTGGTATCTTGTAACTGTTATTAGTGTATTGTGTGTCTTCTAATGAAACCAATTGAGCTGTTCTTTTCTGCTCAGATGCAGACGCCGTTAAGAGGCGATTGAGTGCTTTATCAGATGGGTCCTAACACACACACACACACACACACACAGTGGCTCTGATCATCAGAAAAGCCAAACCTCACACACTTTAGTGCTCAACATGTATGTTTTGCAATACTGAACATGCTCTCCTACAGATCTGGGATTTCAGATGTTTAGTATTGATTGATTAGAAAAGATAATGCAATAAAAATAATGAAAATATCACTCACTAACCTGTTCCTGTGAGTGAATCTTTGCTTGTAATGGGTTGGATATTCTTCAACAAGGCATCAACAAGGTCAGCAAATGATGATTATTATTATTATTTTTATCACACTAATATCATGTTAAAGAATGTTTAAGGGAATAGTTCACACAAAAATGAAAATTTGCCAAAAATGTCCTCACCCTCAGGCCATCCAAGATTAGGATGAGTTAGTTTCTTCATCAGATCTGGAGAAATGTAGCATTGCATCAGTGTCTCAGCAATGGATGCTCTGCAGTGAATGGGTGCCGTCAGAATGAGAGTCCAAACAGCTGATAAAAACATCACAGCAATCCACATGTAATCCACAGCACTGCAGTCCATCAGTTCACATCTGGAGAAGACAAAAGCTGTGTTTGTAAGAAACAAATCTGTTTTCTAACGTAAAACCGTTGCTTTCAGCTCAAATATGAGTCCATAAGCAATAACAATGCTTCCTCCAGTGATAAAGTGGTCTGGTCTAAATCAGGAGAGAAATCTGCACAGATCAAGCACCGTTTACAGTCCAAAACAGCTCTAAACAAATATGTGGCTGGATTTTGATGTAAGAGACAACAGGAGATGCACCTTTTCACTGCAGGAAGCCTTATTATGGATTATAGACTCTTATTTTAGTTAAAAAACATCTTAATAATGGATTTATTTCTTACAAACACATAGCGTTTGGCTTCTGAATCTGATGAAGAAACAAACTCATCTACATCTTGGATGGCCTGAGGGTGAGCACATTTTCAGCTAATTTAAATGTTTTTGGTGAACTATTCCTTTAATTATGAACTGTTACATGGAAAAGAGCTGTGAGAAGATTTTGTCTGTTTTCCACTGCATACAGGTTTGGAGCGACATGAGGGTGAGTAACTGATGACAAAATATTAATTCGCTAAACCATTAAAAAAAAAAGCCACTTGTTTCTAAAAGTGTTTTCACTAGCTGGTGTAATAACACGAGCAGATTACATTCACTATAATAATCTCCATGTGATGGAGAAAAAGTAGTATTTGGAGAGAAAAGGAGGAGCGAGAAACACACTGACAGATCATATGATGATCTTTCACTCTCAAACACCTGCGA